GGGGGCCTACAAACAAACCAACCAACCCCTGTATTGCGCATAGCCCCTGGCAGTATGTAATCCCAGAGAGCTTCAGACTGTACATGGCTGGACCACTGGCTCATTGCATGGGGTTCACATGCCTGAGCCTTATGCTGCCAGGAGGATCCCCGTGCAATGAAAATGGCAGTGGAGGTCATGGGGCTCAGCTGGGGCGGCAGGGAGAGGGGTGGAACCGGCCCAGTTCCATAGTGCAGAGCTCCCTGCCATTCCTCATGACCTACGCATAGCAGTGAGTGGGACCAGCCCTCTGGCTCCATCATGAAAGGCTCCCCCCAGAGGCATGCAGCAGAGAACCCGGGAACTTCATATGAGCCCCACGCGATGGAGCCAGGCAGAACCCATGCCCCTGCCAGCCCAGGCTCTGCGCTCCTGCCACCCTGCCCTGGGTCTCTGCTGGCCATGGGGTGCTGGTGTAGGCCCCACACTCCTGCCCAGCTGCCACCACTTCCCTTGCCTGCCTGCTGTCGCTTCCCTACCTATGAGGCCGGGGTCAGGGCCATCCCACAAGTGAGGGTGGGAGTGCAGCATGTGCTCAGCCCCATGCAAGCACAGCAGGGGCAGCCCGGGGCAAGGTTGAATACAGTGAATTGGTAGGCACCTGTCTGCAGACCAGGTGAAATCACCTCATGAGCCAGATCCGGCTCCCAGGCCATATTTTGCTTGCCCCTGGACCAGAGTGTTAAGAATTCTTAGCCTAACTTGTTTCCTCCTAGAGAGAAGTTCATTTGCTCTAATTTTCATAGCCAGGGAGTAAATTTGACAGAACTTGTGCATTACATTGTGGCTTTCAGCCCATTATAGCCAGTCCACCATACACTTCAGTAAATATACTGCTAGCACATGGGTGGCCAAACTACAGCACGCATGGTGTAAGTCACAAGGTGTCTGCATGTGGCATAACGGATCAGGGAAGGGACAGGCAGCATAGTAGCAGAAGGAGGCAGAGGAAGGGGATCAGTGTAGCACTTAGTGTGAGGCTAATTTGTGGTATGCCTACTGCAAATGGTCCATGCTGCACTAGCACAATGCTTTATTTGTTCATTTATTTTTCAGCTATCCTTGTATTGATGGTTCTTGGTCACTTTCCTAGTCTGTTCTTTCAGGACAGTTAAGCAACTGTCTTGCTTAACCTGCCTATGTAGATTAGGAACATTCTCTTTGGTCTGTCAGCCAAATAGGCTAGGGACAGAAGTTGCACACACATCAGTTTAAGTGATCAGAAACTGGTTTAAACCTGTAACAGGACAGGAGTTCCATGCACATAAACCAGTTTCAAAACTGGTTTAAGATGAACCTGGTTGAATGTAGTATC